GGCTTCCGGCAGAGTTGCTGGGCTATTCCGATCGAAACTAGGAAGTGGAGGCAGGGCCTGTGACGTGGCAGCTTCCGGCTGTGCCCGCGTCACGTACGCGCCCCCCGGCGGTGCGTCCGACGTCACTCTTCTGCGCCCATGCGTCGGACGCAGTGATGACATTTCTGGTCTTGCCGGAAGAGAAGGCGGACTCCGTGACCGCACCTCCCTGCTGGCGCCATCTTGGGCCCTTGCCCCCAACACAATGACGGAGCGCCCGAGCCTGGCATTCACCTGGGGGGCCTCCTTTGCAGGGTCCGCACCGGAACTCTGCTCACCAACCCTCCGGTCTCCGCGCCTGGTACCGGTTCTTCTCACAGGACTGGGGGATAACCGCGCCGGAGGCCTTGTCCTCTGGGCCCTCCTCCCCAACATCAAAGTACCCGAACTTCCAGCGACGCCGGCCATCACTGCATCCAGGGTGCCTGAGCCATGAGACTCCAGGTAAGCCTGTAGCATTGCAACCAGCGCCTCCTGGGACACCGTTGTTGAAGTAGATGCCATAGTGAAATAAGAACTACTGCAAACCTAACAAAAACTGCTGCAAACCTAACTAAAACTGCTCCAAACCTAACTATAGGTAAATCACTAGGCCCTATACTATGGAAGTAAAATTAGCAAGTTCTCAATCCTAAATTTACTGAGCTACTGGTGGAGAATGCGGGCAACGATTAGCAAGTTCTCAATCCTAAATTTACTGAGCAACTGGTAAGGCCCCTCCTCTGTCCTGCTTTATATTCCATATTGCGACAAAGTATCCAGTATAGCCACCCCTCCTTACTGCTGGCCTGCAGTCATGCACTCCCTTCCTTTTCAGTCCAGGGAGATACTAGTGCTGGGAGGAAGTGATCTGAGATCACTTCCTCTACATGCTGCAATTCATAAATTGAGGATTGTCCTTCACCATCTCTTCGTATTAGCAGATATCTGATACTGGGACTCCTGATAGGCCAGAGCTTGTTTGGCTCTAGCAGCCTTGAGTGCCGTGCAAAGACATCTTGAGTGCCGTAGGTTGCTACCCCTGCTCTAGTGGCTGTCTCATTGACAGCCGCTAGAGGCGCTTGCGTGCTTCTCACTATGATTTTCACAGCGAGAAGATGCCAGCATCCATGGGAAAGCATTGATGATGCTTTCCTATGAGACTGGCTGAATGCGCGCTCGGCTCTTGCCGCGCATGCGCATTCAGCCGATGACGGAAGAAAAGGGAGGAGAGTCCCAGCGCCAAGAGAGCCCGGTGCTGGAAAAAAGGTAAGGATTAACCCCTTCCTCCCCCCTCAGCACCACAGGAGTGGGACCCTGAGCATGGGGGCACGAGTATGTTTTCCTGGCACTGTAGGGGTTCTTTAATTATGCATCCATTGCAAAACACAAAAACACAAACACCAAAAGTCCTGCCTTGATGCTCAAAATGGCTTCAGGGTAATTAACCCAACAAATATACCAGTATAGACTAATGGAAAAAAGCCTCATAGCAGAGGCCTATATATCAAAGAAAATGACCCAAATAGTATTATCACTCAAAAGGGTATTATTATTTTTTTAAATCTTTTTTAAAAATTCCTTATTTCCAAAAAATGACAAACAAACAACTAAGTGATAGTAGACAGAGTGAACTGTGAAAACTGTGTAAGTGACTGTTAAAAAGGACAGCTAATGGACTACAGGAATCATCAAATATAGTTGGATAATCTCCAAGCGTGGTAATTCTATTTCACAATGGGAATTGTAACAATCGATACATTTCAGTCAAGGCTTTACAACTGTAGTCACATTTATTACTACTAAGTAAATATGTATTTGAACTGCACTTGTTTTTTTTTTAATGTTGAATGTAAAAGTAAAATTACCTTAAAAATACTTATTTTTGCTCTATGTGGGTCTCAAAGTGGGACATCGGGAATCTAGGGGATAGTGTGACTACTTATCAAACCTAGGTTGGGATTTTTTCTCTATCCTCTGTTCCTTTTCAAATATATTTTATTAAAGAGATATTTTAATAATTATAAAAATAACTGTTGCAATAAAAAAAAGAAAGTATGTTATACATAAAAAGAGTAAATACCACTGTATCCAGTCCATATATAAATCAATGATAAAAGTAGTGAACAGGCCCTATGCTCTATTTCTGCCTGTACATAAAAGATAATTTTCTCTTAACTGCTGCTATTGGGATTTCAGGGAACTGATTAGAACCCAAAGCAGAAAGCATGGTTGATGCAGGCTGAGTATTCAGTTTAGGCTTGAAAACGGGGTTTAGATTTAGATGGATATTCTGCACCTTGTAATAAACTATAAAATTCCTTGTGTGAAAGAGATCAACTACTCGGGAAGAACATGGAAGCCCACCACACACTTTTCCCCGTAGCAAAAAACTTTGCAAAAGTATAGTGGGAATCCCACCCACATTAAGAAATATATTAAATTGGAGGTGTGTATGTTTTCACATCTTGGGCAGTGTAACACTCATCTGACTGCAGTACATTTTTATCACTGGATTTAAATTACACTATGCAGCTTTGTTGTTGACTGCTTTAATTGCTTTTGGACAGGGGCAGGCAACCTTAGCACTCCAGATGCTGTGGACTAAATCTTCCACAATGCTCTTACAGCCATAATGCTGGCAAAGCATCATGGAAGGTGTAGTCCAAAACATCTGCCGTGCCGAAGGTTGCCTATCCCTACTATAGGATCTAAGTTCTATTCTATTGCAGACATGGTAACACTGATGTTCCCTACATTTCTGCATTAAGCAAATTATATGAGTTTTTCATGCAAACGTCATGTTAGAAGTGGTTAAAGGGGACAAAAGGTTAGAAAGGGGTTAATATCCAAGTTAGATTACACAGGGTGTTAAATGTTAAGACAATTAAAGCTTGAGAGTTGTTGTGATATAAGGGGTGTTTAGAATTATTTGGTTTATGGTTCAAATGAGGTTACATTTAAAGTTGGGTTACAATGAATCAATGCATATCTATGAGGAAAATTCACACTGTGCAGCACTGCTCCAGGAAGCACCTCCAGTGGCCATCTGAGGAGTTGCCAGTGGAAGTATCCCTAGGGGGCAATGTGAACACTGCCTTTCTCCGAAACTACAGTGTTTACATGAAAATGCCTGTAGGGAATGAGTATACTCACCATAACAAATACATTAAACTGTAGTTGTTCATGTGACAATAGTGTCCGTTTAATACTGGAGTTAGAGGAGGGGCAAAATAGACAGTAGTATAATTGCATTGAAAAGTTTGTGCCCGGACTGGTTTCCTATGCTCTCCAAGCTGGACCACGGGGATAGTTCTTGGTGGATTGACCAGGCTGCCAGACTAAAATGAGTATGTATAAGGTCCCACGTGGCATTTGCCAGAGGCTGTGAAATGGACTAGTGATTATGACAAACATAACACTGGTTGTCATTGGTAGTGTAGCTTTACATCCAACTTGCAGAATGTATATCCTACAGAGAAATAGAGAAAGGTTCCTATGCCGGTCCTTAGAGTGTCCGGAGTGAAAAAATAAATAAAAGGAAACATGGGAATGTCAGAACAAGCCAAGGTCAAGGGGAGCCATAAATCACAAGAACGAGAGCCGGAGCTAAGTCAAGGAAACAGAATAGTCAGAACAAGGCCAGGTCAATACCACAAACTAACAAAGGTACGCACTATAGGGACACTGGAAACCTATGAGCTACAACAGGGCACTGTGTCATGGGCTAAGTGAGCTTTTATATGTTTGGGTTCATGTTTGATGTAACCACGGCCCCAAAATGTGACAGTGCGTTGATCTCTAGTGTTAAGAGCCCCTCCAATGTCATGATGCCGGCTTGTGTGCGCAGCATCATAAAAAGGGGCGTGTGCACAGCGGGCAGCGTCCAGGAGGCTACCTGGACCGCCAGGATGCACTGCAGCGGCGGTCCGTCGGATCAGAGCAACAGCTGATCGGTGGACCACCAAGGTAAGTATTGGAGACCTGACAGGTAGCAATGAAGTAAGTGGTAAGCATAGTCTATGTCTTAGTCATGCGTAGATCTGTGTGAACGTTCTCTCATACTGTGCAGGTTATACTGATACACCTGTCAATTTCAAAAGCCTCTATTTATCAAATCTTTGTATATTTCATAAAATTCAGCAGGGACATCCAGGTTGCCAGCTCTCCTCTGAATACTGGGTAAAAATATCTGGACTGTGTGTAATAAGCACCTTCATTCTACAATGACTGCCTATTTTAAGAGTATAGTTTTTGCTTGTATTGATTTTACTGAACTGACACCTGACACAATGTATAGCGTATTAGTCTGTGTCTGTGCACACAACACCTCCTTTACCATCCAACTCACTCTCAAGCGGATGACATCAATGCACTGCTGTCTCTTCATTTCCTCCTGTGTTTGGATTTGCCTGCTGCTTTTAGGAGATCGCATCTTAATTTTAATTCAAGGCAATTGATTCTTTCTTAATAGAAAAGAATTCATTAAAAGCAGAAAGCAGTTTGGGCGCAGTGTGATGCAACATTTTTTTGTTGCACGGACAAGATAATACTTGTGCAAATGCATAAACTTTATTTTGAAGGTGTTTATGACTAATGTACTACAAACCAGCAGAATGATATATGTACAGTTGTAATCAGAATTATTCAACCCCCATTGAACATCAGGTTTATTGTCAAAATTTGTAGACTTTCAGCTGTTTGCAATGAACTCATCAAACAAAAGCAATTGAAATAGCCAATCACAATGAATGCTTCAAGTGGTGAGGGCATGGTTCCGGCTCTCATCAAGATGGCCGTGTAAAGAGTGAGCTCCGCTCCGCCGGACCCCAAAAAAGCGTCGCAAGCATAGCATAACCAGCTTAATGGGGCGCACTAAACGCCCGGAGTAGTCCCAGACCCCAAGGCACTCCTCACAGGGCCCGCTGGACGGTTTCCTGCAGCCGCAAACCGGAGCGAGCGGAGACTCCGGGAGCCCCAAAATGGCGGCGCCATCCACCTCGGGACAGGAGGGACCGGCACTTGACCGGATTGAAGGTACCCTGCGGGACCTGGCAGCAGCCATGGTCACGAAAACTGACCTCCAGGCTAACACTCCTGCCATCCAGGAAACCCTGCGGACGGAGATCGCGGGGATCCGCACAGAACTCACAGCGCAAGCAGGCCGCATTACTGTGGTGGAGGAGGCGAACGCGGCCCTCACGACCCACATGGCAGCTACTGACACAGCTGTGGCACGACAAGGTGAGATATTGCTCTCCATGCGTCAGGCATCTCGAAGATGTGGACAATAGAGGCAGGAGATGCAATATACGTATCCGTGGTGTGCCAGAAACAGAAGGGATGGAAAACGTTATTGAAACCCTTATGGAACTCTTCCGCTCCCTACTACATCCGACCCCGCTGCCAGAGATAGAATTTGAGCGGGCACACAGGGCCCTGTGTCCACGCAATGTGGAAGACGGGCCGCGGGACCTAATATGCTGCCTACATTCCTTCCCGGTGAAGAATACCATTATGGTAAAGGCACGGGAACGGCAGACCTGGCCCTTTAGAGGAGTTCAAGTTGCCCTCTATAATGATCTATCTCCCATAACTCTGGAGGCCAGACGGGCCCTTCGCCCGGTTACTGCGACATTGCGAGACCGGAATATCCCATACAAATGGGGCTTACCCTTTGCCCTGATGGCTAGATACCAGAATAGATGGCTCACTCTGAGATGGCCTGAAGAGGTACCGCAATTCATGGAAGAAATGGGCCTCCCTACACCATTGGTCCCTAACTGGATACTGGGACCATTAGGCCCACAGCCGAGACCACAGAGGGGACCTAGACAGCGAGACGTTAGGCCTCGTCCTGCTCCACACTACGGACGGCGCGGAGACCCGACAGCTCCGGAGGAATGATCGCCTCTGCCCACCCACGCTCACGATGGCTGCACTCCACCCTTTGGCAACCCATCCAGGTCGTTACCCGGTGTCTCCCACCAGAGAAGCTGACCCTGACATGATTGTCCCTGCACCTTGCTGCTTGGGATCCGCTCCTCCCTACCGGTGCCCGAGATGAGCAGATTTGGTGTGCGGATTACCGCCAGGTACAATGGGTTAACGTTCTGGGGGCTTGGGGTGGGGGGACGTGGGCACACACAAAGGGCTCATGCACTTTTGAGACTGCCATACGGGACATGTAATTGCATCACCATCCACTCCCTAACATCATGAGAGATTTCCAGCAAGGAGCAAGCAGTCATTGCTTTGGGGAGGGGGGTTCAGGGGGGATGCAGGCTGTGCACGACGAACGCCCCTAGGGGGATCCATAATTTTACCTGAAACCCTAACCACGGCTGTCGTATGGGGACATTACTTCGCAGAGGAGGACTCTCAGTTGGGCTATATGTGCTTAAAAGCAATGTCTGCGATCCGCGGGGAGGGTGGGGGAGGGAACCTGGAGGGTAACAGAATTGAATGTCAATGCTGCATATAATGTACCCTGCTGCTGACTGACCCACGCTTACCGCTACATCCACTTTTGCACACTGCTTTATTTTGGAGGCTTTAGGTGGCATTAGGCCGGTGGTACCCTAACTAGGCCCGCTGTTTTGCTGTTGTCGTTCCCCAGACTGATGGGGCGGGCTGATACGCTTTTCCCGACAGAAGATAGATCTCCCTGCTAACAATCATATTTACAAACGACTGACTTATAGCTTAGGCCCACACGCGAATCCCTAGTGACGTCTTCTTATCTCAGAACTTGCAATCCCATACCTGTACTCATCCCACCGACAAATGAACGTCTGTGGTTTTACTTATATACGAACCCCCTCCCATTTGGGTACCGATGGGAGCATGGCCGGAGAGTGACTTGCACATGATGCATGAGATGTACATAAGTATTGGTTCAGGAACTCGGAGGAGCGCTTAAGACGGATAAGGGGACCCCCGACATAGGGAACCCCACCGCTATTGGATGCAGGGGAGCTAACACTTAGCGACACGATGGGAATAAGGGTTCACTTAGATCGACCAGAGCGGGTGGACGGTGGGTGGGCATCTACCTCCTTCAAAGGGAGTACTTGGGGAATGAAGGGTTATACTGTTTTCTGTTCATCGGCCTCAGGCGCCATGTTTGACAAAACGTTATTTGTTGTTACTACCAGTGTGCCTTTATTGTAACTGTACAATTTACGCAGGTTATTGCTATCCATTCGAACCTGACCATGGGGGATACGGTGGAGCGGAGAACCACTTATCTAATCCCCGATACCTTACCTGGGCGGAGCTCGAGCCACGCTCTCCAACACATACACTCGTGCCAAGAGGTCTGTGACCAGATGGCGGGGTCCCTCGGCTCCTGGGCTGGTACCGGAGGGAGCCCCAGCTGGTGCTGGTTGTCGCGCGAGTTTTCCCCCTCTTTTGTAGAAGGGATCTAGATCTAAATCAGGGATCCCACCAGATTCTGGGGGGTAACCACAAAAGGGGTACATACCTCCTTTCATACTTTACGTGGCACAGTCGGCTCCGCGCCCCGGGACCCGGGCCCCGGAATTACTACTTGTGCGCTCCTCTATAACCCACTTTCCCCCCTTCCCTTCCCCCTTTGCCCTCCATCCCCCCTTTCCCACCTTCTTCCTTGTCCCTCCCGCGTTTGGGCCGGTCCGTGCCCCAGACGAGTGGCTTTCCCTGAAGTAGCGGACTACCGGTGCAACCTCCTGACCCCGCATTAATCCGGGACTGTATCCGACCCATATAGTGACCATGGCCTACCGTAACGCACCCTTGAAGGTCATCACACAGAATTGTAGAGGACTCAACATCCCTGAACGGAGGACGCACCTGTTACGGGAATTGAAGAAAAAACATGTGGCTATAGCTATGCTCCAAGAGACGCACTTCAAGGAAGGATCTACTCCAAGATTACGGGACAGGCCTTACCCCGATAACTACTTCTGTAATCACCCAACGGCCCACAAATCTGGAGTGGCTATATTATTAGCTGCGGAACTGGAATTTAAAGAATTGGAACGCATCCAAGACTCGCGGGGACGATATCTCTTCCTCAAGGGCATCATAGCAGATAAGATATATACCATTGCGACCATTTATGTGCCCAGTCGGAGGCAGGCCCCGTTTATCCGCAACGCTATGCATCAATTGGAAGACTTCACAGACGGGATACTATTAGTCGGAGGCGACTTCAACGCCTTGCTGGACCCAACGCTGGATTCCTCCACGGGTCATAGCTGCCTTCCACAACACAGCATTAGCTCCATTCGACAATCGATGGAAGCCCTGAGACTGGTGGACTGTTGGAGGACACTTCACCCCACAGTGAAAGACTTTACCTACTACTCCGCCCTTCACAATCGTTATTCCTGCATAGATTACATCCTCATTGTGGTGTATCACCAAATTAATATATATACTACACAAGGTTCGTCTACATTAAAAGGTATTTATTAAAAGGCAACAACACAATACTATAAATGTATCACAAACACACAGCCCAGACCCACGGAGCAACAACCCTTTTTAAATCTATCTATGTATATAGTAACCCCTTACACACACGCTTGATCTCACCAACGGTTAGGCCTTCACATCTAGTAATGGCTCACTGCTGCAAGTTCAACATCACATCCACCAAGGAAGAAAAGGAAGCAACAGAGTGTAACATGGTCCACCATGCTAGCCCATGGCGTCTGCACATCTGCTCTGTAGCACAGCCAAGAAGGAACAGAGAGGAATGGAGAAAGGGGGAAGTGGTTATCTCTTTCCTGACTTGTAAAGGTATTGAATTACCAATTAACATTTCAAAAGGGTAAAGCTTATCCCACTGTAAGAAAAGCAAACATGAGCTTGGTCACATGACCCCTGGTCACCATATTAGTTTGATGACAGAATGTCACCACACTCATTGCACAGGAGGGCCTTTTCCACCTACGGGGAGCAGAGATCGAAATGGCCAACTGGTCGGACCATGGATCGGTCGGGATAGAATTGGAATCGCCCCTGTACAGACCGAGCATGTGGACCTGGAGACTTAATGAAGCCCTACTGCTTGACCCGGGCACCAAGGACCAGATCCGACAAGCATTGGAACAATACTTCGGAGAAAATTATACCCCGGAGGCTTCTCCGATTTCTGAATGGTAAGCTCATAAAAGTGTGCTTCGTGGCACTTTCATACGCATTGCCTCCCAGAACCGGAAGGCATTTATGCTTGAAATGGTCGACTTATATCGATCTATATCGACTCTGGAACGCCAACACAAATGCTCCGAGCTAAACGCAGTTTACGGAGAATTAATGGAGCACGGGAGAAGACTTAAAGATCTCATTTTGAAAAGACATCTCTGATCCGTACAACGCTCGAAGGGCTTTTATTACGTGCACGCCAACAAAGGGGGTAAATATCTGGCAGACTACTGAAGGGCCCCTTGCCCCATAGACAGATACGTAAGATCCGCCTGACTACGTAGGAGGTTTCCCCATTCCCTCAGAAAATAGCCGGGGAATTTAGGTCTTTCTATGAACACTTATACAATCTGTATACGCCCAACGGAGCCACCGACGCAGCTAGAGAACGCGCAAAGATACAGGACTTCCTGGCTGGCACAGTCACGAACACGATTACTCAGGAATCGGCAACGCTTTTGGACATTCCGATCACTGTGGAAGAATTAGCCGCAGCCCTGAAGACATCCAAATCCGGCAAGGCCCCTGGCCCAGATGGCTATTCTACAGGATATTATAAAAGCTTTTCGGGAGTGCTACTACCTTGGCTAACCAAGGCGCTTAACGCTGTAGGCGAAGGAGGGATCCTGGGAAAGGAATCCCTGGCGGCCACCATCACGGTCATACTTAAACCAGGGAAGGACCCGTTACAATGCAGCAGTTACCGACCGATCTCATTGTTGAATGTCGATGCTAAGCTGTTCACGAAAGTTCTTGCAACTAGGCTTAAACATCTACTCCCCGACTTAATACACACGGACCAGACGGGATTCATGCCGGGTCGGGAAGCTAGGCACAGTACTCTCCGGCTTTTCTCTATCCAACACCACGCAAGGAAGACAGGAACCCGGCTACTTTTGCTATCAACAGATGCCGAAAAAGCATTCGACCGGGTCAATTGGACGTACATGCTGGAGACCCTGAAACTGCAGGGATGCGGCCAGAGACTCCTCACGTGGATATCTGCTATATACAGTAGGCCGCGCGCTTCTGTAAGGATTAACGGAGCCACAACCGAGATTAGCAACGGTACCCGACAGGGATGCCCAATCTCGCCTTT